CTCATGCACAACTTCACATACACACCAGAGCCCCTAGACCGGGACACTGTTTAGAACGGCGCACTTTGAAAAAGGCAGGAAGGAGCCCTAAAATATGGGAGGCCTTGGAGAGCTCTCATTGCCCTCTGCAAAACTAACCACTAAAACTAGCCAGTTTGGTGTAGTGGTTAAGTGCGCGGACTCTAAACTGGGAGAACCGGGTTCAATTCCCCCACTCCTCTGTTTGCACCTGCTGGATGACCTTGGGCAAGCCATAGTTCTGACAAGAGCTGTCCTTGAAAAAGAGCCATTTCTGTCAGAGCTCTCTCAGCCTCACCTCCCTCACAGGGTGTCTGTTGTGGGGAGGGGAAGAGAAAGGAGTTTGTAAGCTGATCTGAGACACCTTTGGGTAGTGAAGGGCGGGGTAGAAATCCAATCTCTTCTCGTCCTCCTCCTCCTCTTCTATTTCTTCTCCTCCTCCTCCAGTTTGGTGTAGTGGTGAAGCACGTGGACTCTAATCTGGGAGAACCGGGTTTGATTCCCCACTCCTCCGCTTGCACCTGGCTGGATGACCTTGGGCAAGCCGTAGTTCTGATAAGAGCTGTTCTTGAAAAAAGAGCAGTTTCTGTCAAGAGCTCTCTCAGCCCCACCCACCTCACAGGGTGTCTGTTGTGGGGAGGGGAAGGGAAAGGAGTTTGTAAGCGGCTCTGAGACACCTTTGGGTAGTGAAGGGCAGGGTATAAATCCAATCTCCTCCTCCTCCTCCTCCACCACCTCTTCTTCTTCTTCTTCTTTGATTCAGGTGTGCCACCGTGCTGGTCTGAAGCAGATGTTAAAATATAGGACAGGCTCCTTAGCTGAGGAAGTTACAGATCTCTACAGAGTCTCTATTACCTTGAAGCTACCTTACCTCACGGGGTGCCTGTTGTGGGGAGGGGAAGGGGAAGGAGTTTGTAAGCCGCTCTGAGACACCTTTGGGTAGTGAAGGGCCATGGGATATGAATGCAATCTCTACTCTTCTTCTTCACAAAGGACAAGTTTGCCCTCCACTTGTACTCAGTCAACGGCAAGCACCTGTCTTCCATCCCGCTGGACGAGGAGGTCACCGCCATGTGCATCACCGGGGACTTTGTCGTCCTGGGGACCGTTCAGTGTTCTCTGCAGATCCGGGAGCTTTGGAGGTAAAATTCGTATCCACGTGACTTGGCTATGGGCATCTGACCCCACTTCCCATGCCCAAGCAGGACTTGTTCTCATTTTCCCTGCGTGCCGTGAAACCAAATATCTGGTTACATGGAGCCTCCCCAAACATTTTACCAAAGTGGGTCCCAGTAGCTGTGAACATAAGAGAACCCATGTTGGATCAGGCCTCTGGCCCATCCAGTCCGACACTCTGTGTCACACACAGTAGCCAAAACCCAGGGGTCATCAGGAGGTCCAGCAGTGGGGCCAGAACTCCAGACGTTTGCCCCCCCCAAGCACCAAGATTACAGAGCATCTCTGCCCCCGATTGTAAGAACATATGAGAAGCCATGCTAGATTAGGCCAGTGGCCCATCCAGTGGGGCCAGAACTCCTGAAGCCGTCCAACTGTTGCCCCCCCCCAAGCACCAAGAAGACAGAGCATCACTGCCCCAGACATAAGAACATAAGAGAAGCCAATGTTGGATCAGGCCAGTGGCCCATCCAGTCCAACACTCTGTGTCACACAGTGACCAAAACCCAGGGGCCATCAGGAGGTCCACCAGTGGGGACAGAACTCCAAAAGCCCTCCTACTGTGGCCCCTCAAGCACCAAGAATACAGAGCATCACTGCCCCAGACATAAGAACATAAGAGAAGCCATGTTGAATCAGGCCAGTGGCCCATCCAGTCCAACACTCTGTGTCACATGGTGGCCAGAATCTAGGAGCCATCAGGAGGTCTACCAGTGGAGCCGGAACACCAGAAGCCCTCCCACTGTGGCCCCCTAACCATGAAGAATACAGATAACATAAGAGAAGCCATGTTGAATCAGGCCACTGGCTCATCTAGTCGAACACTCTGTGTCACACGGCGGCCAAAACCCAGGTCCCATCAGGAGGTTCACCAGCAGGGCCTGAACTCCAGAAACCCTCCCACTGTAGCCCCCTAAGCACCAAAAATACAGATAACATAAGAGGAGCCCATGTTGGATCAGGCCAGTGGCCCATCCACTCCAACATTCTGTGTCACACGGTGGCCAGAAATACCAGGGGCCATCAGGAGGAGCCGGGGGGGGGGCCTGTTCCGTGCTCATGGGGACCTGCCTCATCCAACAGTGGGGGCCTCGTGACCAGTGTTCCCTCTAAACTGAGTTAGTGTGAGCCAGCTCACAGTTTTTTAGCCTCCAGCTCACAGATTTTTCTCTTAGCTCAGGAAGGATGGCTCCCGAGCAGACTAATTTATGCAGGAGCCATATTGCTCGCTCACAGCTTTAATGCCAGTCCCTCACAAAGTAGAATTTCTGCTCACAAGATTCCACAGCTTAGAGGGAACATTGCTCGTGACTTCCTGCCCTGATTCTCTGACTCGGGAGCTGTTGTTCTCACCGGTGCCCCCCCTTTGCTGTCATTCCAGCCTCCAAGCGGCCATTTCCCCTTTGTCCATGAGGGTCCCCATCCACAGCGTCTCTGTGACCAAGGAGACGAGTCACATCCTGGTGGGACTGGAGGACGGGAAGCTGATCGTGGTGGGAGCCGGGCAGCCGTCCGAGGTGAGTCGCGAGCATTCCACACGGGCATCTACACCGCGATCCTCTGCCAGGAGCGGGGCCCAAGGGCTCATGTCGAGTCGATACTTCAAAACAATGGCTTGAAAAGTGAACGATGGAGAGTGACAGGCAAGAGGGAAGCTTGGCCGGAAGGATGTGGCTAAAAACATAAGAACCTCAGAAGAACCCTGCTGGATCAGATCAGGGGTCCATCTAGTCCAGCCTCCTGTCTCACGCAGTGGCCAACCGGTTCCCCTGGAGGGCCAACAACAGGGCCGAGAGGCCGAGGCCTTCCCCTGAGAAGAACATAAGAGGAGACCTGCTGGATCAGACCAGTGAGGGTCCATCTATTCCAGCATCCCCTGATAAAAACACCTCCTGGGTCAGACCAGTGAGGGTCCACCTAGTCCAGCATCCTGTCTCACACAGGGGCCAGCCAGTTTCTCCGGAGGGCCAACAACAGGGCAGAGAGGCCGAGGCCTTCCCCTGATAAGAACATCAGAAGAGCCCTGCTGGGTCAGACCACTGAGGGTCCATCTAGTCCAGCCTCCCGTCTCACAACAGTGACCAATCTGTTCCTTTGGAGGGCCAATAACAGGGCAGAGAGGCTGAGGCCTTCCCCTGATGTTGCCTCCTGGCTCTGGGATTCAGAGGCTGACCGCCTCTGAACGTGGAGGTTCCCCTCAGTCTCCATGGATAGTAGCCATCGATAGACTTCTCCTCCATTTATTTAATTTTTACCCCGCCTTCCCGGCCGAAGCTGGCTCAGGGCGGCTCACATAAAAGCGGACGATTACAATAAAACATAGTTATCGTTAAAACAAATATAACCGCAGGGAGGCACAGGTTAATTTGGGAATTCAAGGTGGTTTGAATCTGGACTCTGTCCTGCCAGCACTAACTAATGCAGCCCACCGGTCTAGCCCATCTCGACCATATTTGCTTGAAGTCCACAAATGCAATGACCTTGTCCCTACAATTCTGTGAGCAGCATCCAGGGAACTAGATTCGAGCCCAGTAGCATCTCAGAGACCAACGAGATTTCCAGGGTATAAACTGTCAAGAGTCAAGATACGAGGTTTGACTCGCAAAAGTCCATGCCCCCAAAATCTTGTTGGCCTTCTAAGGCGCTACAGGACTTGAATCGAGCCCTTCTGCTGCTGACCAAAATGGCCGCCCTCTGAAACTGTCCCGGAGAACTGACCCCCCCCTTTGGCTGTTTTTCTTCCTTCAGGTGAGGCCAGGTCAATTCCACAGGCGGCTCTGGCGTTCAACACGGCGCATCTCCCAGGTGTCGTCCGGCGAGACGGAATACAACCCAACAGAGTCCAAATAACCATCTCGGGGTCAGCTTTCCACCTTCCTGTTGCCTTCCGTCTGTGGCAGAGGGACCAAGATCTGTCCGGCCTCGTCTGCTGGGAGCGTTCTTCAGCCACTCCCCTGCTAGCGGTCTGCCGCTGACGGTCTCCTTGCACAGTCCCTGGTTTGCAGCTGCGGAAACTGCCTCAAGGGCTCCTATGCAAACCAGAGGTCTGCTCCCCTCTCACACTGTGCTCCGGGGGCGGTCGTGCACAGGACAATCTCCGGAGGGGGCTCTCGAGAGTCCGTCTAGCTGTCCCTCCCTTATTTCTTGATTCCTGTTATTATTATTATTATTTGATTCCTGTGGAGCTTGAAGTGGCAAATGTTTGTATTAGTTGTCTTACACTGGAAAGAGAGAAAGAGGACAGAGAGGGGATGGGAGGGCGAGGACTTCCGTCGCCTCCTGCCACCCGGCGGGGAAACAAAAATGCAATAGACATACGCCAGCCTCAAGACAGCGGGCTGGTCTTTTCTCCGGTGGCCTTAAGCAGACCTTTTTCTTGCGCTACGTAGAAAACCCGTGCCAGAACCAAGGACTGTAAATTCTCACTTGCCCTGGGGGGTGGGGGGGAGGGTCTCCAGTCCACTCGTTCTGAGAAAGCTTTAACGGTGAGCTGAAAAGGGAAGGTATCAGTAGGGGCATGCTGTTCTTCTCCGGATGGGGGCACTGGAAGGGGTGGAAAGGCAACCTCCTAGGCCGAAGATATTAGCAAGGCAGCCAACCCTGCAAGCGTCGAAGCAGAGGGGTGTGGCAAATAGGCAGCATGTCCTACCTCGCTGGATTGTTTTTCCCCCCGAGTATCCACAGGGATTGGGTTGCTTCCTATCAGTGACCTCAGAGGGGGGATCTATTGACTTTATGGGGAGGAGGGACATATGTGAGTATTCAGCACCAACCTTGGTGCCGCACGCAGCTACACCAGCAATAAAACCCTGTCTCTCGGTAGACTCGTGTCTTCACCCAATCCTAGCAGGCCTTCTGTTGTATCTCGCGGGGAGGGTCTACAGAAGATTTTGTGCCGCCTCGGTAAGGAATTCCTTATCTCAGCCTGCTGTGCTTCCCAATCCTCCAAACTGCAGCACTATCTTTTTGGAAGGGGGCTACTCTGCGGTTGCTATCCCGAGCTAAAACAAAGCCGGTCAGGAGTTTTAAAAGGCTTTCCACGAGCTGATTGAGCCGCTGTTTAGAACAGGGACTTTTGGTGGAATCTCCAGCAAGGAACTCAGTTACTCCCCATCATATGTTCGAGTGCAGGCTGGGTGTGTTGCTGTCCATCCAGTTCCCCTTTAAGCACTTTTTGATAACCAAAACCACTTGATGTTGAAAGTGAAATAAAGACTGTGATTGAGAAGAGACGCCGGATGCATTGCGGCTCTCAACGAGAGGCATCCGGGGGTCTTTTTTCCACCAGATGTGAAGGGACAAGCTGTTTCAGAACACGTCCCCCTGGAGAACCTGCTTCCTTTTCTCTGCCCTTCCCTCGATATCAGCTGGGGCTGGTCCAGGTAGATCGTTGGCATGGAAGTAGGGAGGGGGAAAGTGACACTCGGTGGGATACAGCAAGAACCAGGTCGCCTCTGAAATGGAGGGCTTTGCCTCGATCTACTGAAACTTCAGCAACCCAGAGCAAATGTCCCTTGGAGTCCAGAAGTGAATCAGAAGCTCAGTGGGGATTTCAGTCATTCCCTATGGATGCAGTCATGATGTTGGTGAAAAGGGGGGTTCGGAGATGACCGAGGATCATGTGGACTTTGATCGGTAGCTCGAACGGTGGCTCAGTTCTGCAAAGAGAGGGATCCAGGCGTTGTCTTTTTCACCCTGCAGCTGACTCATCGGTGGCTGGCTTTGTTGCGTTCCTGCGATCGCCCACCTTTTGTGAAGTCGAGAGCAGGCCTGGATGGTTTTTATTTATTTTTTTCTGCAGAAGGCAGGTGCGAGTGTTCTCCTCGGCCCCTGCTCCCATCGTCCTCCCGTGTGTCCCTTCGATCGAGGAAACTGAAGCGGTTAGAGGCCGCAAGCCAAAAGCTTCTTCCCGTTTCCTGGATTCGGTTGGGCTGCCCGCTCTAACTTTGTACAAAGCAAGGACTTGGGGTCTTTCCTTCTCACATGACTCACCCTGAACTGAAACAGTAATTGGTCTTGGAGAAAACGGGGACGTTCGGCCGGTCAACCTCCAGAA